ATCATATAGATTGAAGATATAAGATATACCTCTTGATTTGATTTTTCAGGACATTGATTCATCACATCTCCTGTAACTAGGCATATTAGTTGATAGAGCATATTTATATCAACTCTAACCATTTCCTAAAATCTCAAGAGAAAGCATTACATGTAGTTAAATGAAGAACTATAAAAATTACTCTTTCTAGTCAATATTAAAATGATAGGACATCAAAACATGTTAGCATAAAAGGTCATCGTCTATGATCATAAAAATCATAGTCTATGTCTGAATATGTAACTACATAGAGTTTGTGCATATTAGAATTTGACCTTAATATCTGAATATTTTAAACTAATATGAAACTAAAATACTGTAGTTATATCTTTACATGCATGCATATGCACATACATGAATAAAATTACTAATAGTTACATGCAAAGCATTTGCATATGCACATACATGAATAAAATTACTAATAGTTACATGCAAAGCATTCAAGAGAACCTTATAATATGATTTCATATCTTAAAGTTAGTTACATGCAAAGCATTCAAGAGAACCTTATAATATGATTTCATATCTTAAAGTATATTTCATATTTTATATGCATAAATTTTAAATTCTCGTATTATAAGAAGTTGCAAATTTGTTGCTTACAAGGGAGACCTTTCAAATTTAAATTTGTTGCCTACAAAAGAGACCTTCCAAATTTAAATTGGTTGCCTACAAAAGAGACTTTCTAAATTTAATTTATGCATATAAATTATTCTCATAATTCCAATCATCTTATTCATGCTTGAATATAACATGTTTCATATGGAAATATAACAATTATCAAATAAAAGGGTTTAAGAATATACAACTTACCATTTGATATAGATGTGCTATTAGTATCAATCTTGAGTCCAACTCCAGTATTGACTTCTTTAAGTTTGTTCACAATGAGTTTGGTATACATCAATTAATGAATTGAAGTTTTTTAAAATCATATTAGCAATATTGCTCATGTATCTTGGCAGGAAATTAATTAACAATGGATTCACACAATAAACATTTGGTAACGGTTTCCTTCCTTACGATTGATAAAACAAAAAGGAATTAACAATAAATAATACATTTTTTGAGCATTTATGTTAGCAATTACATAGTCATATTAGTCACAATTTATTATTGTGACTGATGTAAATACAATACTTTTGACTAATGTAAATATAATACTTTAGGGGGGAAACGTAATTTAAACGCTCATGCATGCAAAATTCCAAAACCATGTATGCTTGGTTGATGAATTTCACTCCTAAGCATAGGAAACATACAGGTATATATTATGTGATGATAGGAGTCTTAGATGTCAGATAAGCATTACAGCATAGAGAGATTTAATATTTAAATAGATAGTTTATTAACAATCTGTTTACACATGAGTTACACACTTCTTATCACTAAGAGGTATATGTATATATATCATGTCACATAGCACAAATATAGCATGCAGATCATAAAAGATCAGTTACAAATTAAAGAAATAATGTGCTTAGCAAATGGATCATCCAGAAACTACAGCAATTAAAATAAAGTAATAAAACAGTTTTATGAACAGTATGAAACAGTGCCTGAATTTTATGAACAGTGACCCTTTTTTTGCAGCAATTAACTAATAGTATTAATTACTAGTTACGCTAACAAATAATAAAATCAATTAGATTAGATGAACAATAATAAAATTGCTTAATAAACAGAAAAATTCCCCCGAGCGAACAGTAACCCTCGGTGAACAGTAACAAAATTTTCCCTTTTATTTTAATAACAACTAAATTAAATTATTAGTTAACAAATAAAAAAGAGCAAGAAAAGCAAATTACAACAAATTAACTATTATTAATTTTCTCTTTTTTTAAACAGAAAGAAATATATATTTTTTGGATGAATAGTAAAAACGATGAACAATACTTTTAATATAATTTTTTCGGATTAAAAGCAAAATCTATAAACTTCTCAATCTTCTAGATTGTTAGAAATTTACCAAATAAACTTAAATTAGCATGTAAATTAAATCCGAATAAAAATAAATAATTAAATCTGGTCTGATTGGGAGCAGTCGTGTAATCACTGTCCTAGAAAATTGAGGACCCGCCTATCGCCCTGACGCAGATGATCCCCTCTCTACTAACGGTAAAAACCCTCGGAATCGGCTGGCCTCTGTACTCGGGCGGGGGTACAGAGTTTCTGCTCAGATGAAGAAAGTTGCCCAAAAATAAAACCAATACTATGAAGAAATAATATGAAGAGGAGAGAAGAGACTTGTTGTTTTCCTTATCAAAACCAAGCTGAACATACGACTATATATATATGGTGTTGGAAAGAGACGTTACAAAACCCGCAATTAATACAGTAACGTTCGTCATAAATCTTATAACGTTTCCCATAATTATATAGCCGTTACACATATTTTTAATTGCTAATTAAAATATGTTTTAATTACAAAAATTTATTACTATTCATGAAGGCAAAGTTGTCTTTTCTTAACAAAATATCTAACACTCTTGTCCTCAACCATTTATCGTTTTTTTTACTCATGAACTCATGAATTATTTTTCTTTCTTCTCCTCTTTCTTCAACCATTATCTTTTTTCCTCAACACCTCTCCCCCATTGCATCTTTCTTCTCTTTCTTGTCGTTCTTTCTCAACTATTTTTTGTCTCCATGGCCTCTTCTTTGTTATTTTTTCTCTTCATCACCCATCTATCCTTCATCTTCTCCCACAACCGTCACGACATCACTCAAAGACCATCTCTTTTGAGCTAAAACAACTATCTTTTAAAATCATGTCAAAGTTAACACGTGACGGTTAAAGTTAACACCTAAGTTCAATAGTTAAATTAATTCTATAATATTTGTGTCAAGTTTAACAGATAGATGTTAACCATATGGCCCGGGTGTTAAGTTTAACAGATAGATAACAACTATATGTCTTAGCTATTAAGTTTAACAAATATATGTTAACTATATGAATTAGCTGTTAAGATTAACATATTGATGTTAACTATATAAACTAACAGCTACTCCATTTAATTAACATCTATTCTATAAGATTATTATGTGTCTTGGATCATTAGCAGATAAGTCAAATTTTAATATGTATTATGTAAACTTAGTATTTATCCTCAAAGTGGAGGAAAGAAAAGGGTGGAAATGAAAGAGAATAGAAGGAAGGAGAGAGGAGAGAGGAGAGAGGAGGAAAGGGGAGATGAGATGTATAAGAAAAAAAGGGGTGGAGGATGAGTAGAAGAAGGAGAGATCACTAGTAGAAAATTCAACATCTTAGACGGAATATCCTAAACAGAATTTTTTCCGTCTAGTTTACTATTAAACTAGACGAAAAATTTCTGTCTAGGATATTCCGTCTAGGAAAAAATATTCTAGACGGAAATTCCCGTCTACAATAGCATCCTAGACGGTTTTAGTATTTTGTTTTTTTATTTTTAAATGAGGCTAGCATCCTAGACGGAAATTTCCGTCTAGGATGCATCCTAGACGGAAATTTTTCGTCTAGGATGTTTTATCATACATGGGTACGCCCTTTCCTCCCAAATTTTGTTTTCCCGCCTAAATTCTCAAACTCGACCTTCCCAAATTTCATTCCCAAATCCTACTCCTCCCTCCACCGCCTCCCCCTCCTCAACCTCACCCCGACCCCTCCCTCCCCCTCTACTCCCTCTCCCTCCACGGCCTCCACCACCTCTCCCGCCTCCTCACCTGACCCCCTCCCGAACTCCTACATCCTCTCCTCCGCCCTCAAGTCCTCCCCTCTCCCCATCGTCCGCGCCCTCCATTCCCTCACCCTCAAGCTCCGCCCCCTCTCCAACCCCTTCATCTCCACCTCCCTCCACTCCATGCCCCAGGAGTCGGCATCACATGAGCTCCGACCAGTTCCGGTGGTTCCTCGTCGAGTCTCAGGATGACGGC